ATCTACATTTCCTGAAATCTACATTATCTTAATCGCATGTAACAACGCGCGCTTTCTACTTTGGATGTTTCGTTCGTGTTAAAAATACCTTGTCAAATTGTATCAGAAAGTAAAGCTGCACTTTACATATCATACTTCTATATCACCGTGGTAAGAAATTAACTTATAGTTAAAATAAGTTTCTATATATGTACACACGTATGTACAACGTGCGTGTGCTTTATTACGCACAATTAGACAGATTATTTAGCGAGATTTATTCATTTTTACTTTATTATCTGTACTTTAATATGTTCGTTGTACTGAATCAGATTAATTTCTCACCTGAATGCTTAAATTCTAGTTGATGAGTACAGATTTCTGAACGTTATAAGGAACTTCAAGTAAGCATTATCTGAGATTATTACATTCATACAATTAAAAAAAGTGATTTGAAGAAATAAATTACGAGAGCGGTGTCTTAAAGCGCGAAAAATATTGAGTAAGAATAAAGAAATAATAAAAAGTTAAGACTGCGATTTAATCACCAAATTTCAAACAGATATGAAAAAAAAAAAAAAAAAAAAAACAAACAACAAAAAATAATCATCTTTATTTTTATATCTTTTCAATTAAATTTTAATTATAAATAAATAAATAGTTTCTCTCTCTTTTTATGATAATAAAATTTCATCAATTATTATTATGTCGAATTATTGTACTGTGCATTCCTACCCATGGTATTTACAAAAATATCATTAGATAAGTACCAAGAAAAAGTACCTGTTTCATCATAGCGGCACTTTATCTGTTCTGCATTTCTCTGCATGTAAGTTGCATTGCACAAAATTATATTGATGTATTATTAATTGCACAATTTAATATAGTGTTTACTTAGTCGGGCTTATAGATTGGAATCTTTGGAATAAATTCTATTAGAAGAAACCTGTAATATCAAGACAAAAAATAATTAATATTATTGAGTTTATATCTACTAGTAGCTTATTCTAGATTTTAATATAATTTTGTAATATCTTACATATTCCCTCATAGAAGAGCTATCGCATCTTTGTTTTGCCAATCTCCAATGTAATCCAAGTTTATGATAAAGCCTACTATTTCCCATTCTAACAATTTGTTTAACGAGTGTTGAGTCTATAAAAACAGTACATTTAAATATTTAACATTTATTTACAAATGATCTCATAAAGTATTCAAATTTGACTAATGCTTATGTCTTACCCTTTTGCTCAAACAGATGACAGGCCACAGAGAACATCCTAGGGTACAGCAGCAGCATACACAACCGCAGAATAGCCACTTAACGTTAACAGGTGTAAAGTCTTTTTCAGTACACTATTTATTCTCATAACGGTTGCCTTAAATTCTTCTGGTGCCACCCTGGATATGAGGCCGTTAGGAAACTCTGATTCAAAACGATTACTGAGACAAAATCTAAAAATAAAAGAAAAAAATTGGATAGATTAATAATGTTCTTCCAACATATATGAATAAATCGAACATCAATTTAAAATTAATGACTTAAGAAAAATTTTAAATTAATGACCTTTAAATAAAATTATATATAATAAAAAAAAACTATATAAAATATATAGATAATTCTTTTTATATATGTAAAAAGCAAGCATGAGTCATGGATTTATCTAATCTTAAAGTTGAAGAACTTTACACAAAACTGGATATTAATAGCTAATATAAAATCATTCTTAAAGAATACGAATATTTTTGTCAGATTTTATGAATATTATATAATTATGTTATTTATATTATATATATATATACACAGATCAGATATTTGAGAAATATTTTTGTATTGAACTGCAGAGGCAAATTATGCCGAATAAATATGCGCATAAACATCTTTTCAGCAGAAATAAGTGTAATTTATCACGTTGACATTTACATATTTAAATATGATTAACAATGTAGGTAAACACCGCACCGATAATGCGCAGATATCTATCGACAGATGTACTTTGCAAATAAAACACCTGTTTAATTTTCCTTTTATCCGAATAAAAAAAATTCTCTCATTCAACTTACGATTTTATTACACGTATATATCGAGACAATTCGCGTTGAATAGCATTCGTCGTTCGAGGAAAAAATCGCCTCGTCAACTATCGACGATGCCATCGGCACAACAACAAACGAGACGACGACGAGACGTGAATCGAAAAATTCGACGCTCGCGTCAAAAAAATTGATCGAAATCAGGTGATCCATTGTTTGCCTCCCTTGTGAAAGAGCGCGCGAGTCCTCTTTCTCCTTCCTCCTCTTTTTTCTCCCAACCGAGACAAAAAAAGAAACTTCTCTCTCTCTCCTCGTCGGACTATACAGTACAATCTCGACTCGAATTTCAAACTTACACCGTCATGTTACCAGCTCCGCGGATCACGATCGGGTCCGCACCATCGCGACGTAGTGTTCCTCCAAATTCTGCTCGTGTTCCTCTTCCTCCTCCTCGTAGATCGCGTCGAAATCCGCCATCGTCGCTGGGAATTCGCCGCTTTCCGCGAACAAAACAGCGAAGAAGGCGTAATAGCATATAAAGAACGCGGAGACGTCTCCTTCCTCTCCCTGACCTCCTGGAGCGGCCAGTTGACGACGCTCTCGCGAAGCGCCTTTCCTCGCTCACATCCCCGCCGCGATTATGAGCTTCCGGCTCGTCGTCACGTACGTCCTCCCGTCCTCGCGGTCCCTTCGAGCGACGATCATCTTCTCCGGAGTACTCCGGGCTAGGCCAACTGCTAGGCTCTCGTTCGACGACGACGACGTTCCTGACACTATTCGCCAGTGTTGTTCCCTACGTGTAGGTGTAGGCGCCGCACGCGTTCACTCGCTGCACAACCGCACGACGCGCACTGCGGATGTACGCGATGTGCTCCGCGCACAGCTCATCAATTTTTTCCTCGCCGCGACCAGGCCTGCCAACCCTGCCCGGCAGCGCCCCCGCGAGGGCAGCACTGTTTCGCGCTTCCTCCGCGAGAGGGCAGCACCGCTTCCCGCAGTTCCCGCGCAAATATGGCGTGGGAGGCGAACCGAACGGACGGGTGCGTCGAGAGGGAAAAGTATCGGGAGACTAAGTTGTTCCTTTCCTTCCTCACTCTTCAGCTCTTCCTGTTTCCTTCAGGTACTTCTATAATCCGTCATCTGTAATATAAATAATTAATGATTTAGCTCTGTTCATGCTTTTGATTTGGATTTTTATTGGTCTCTTGCGTGCAATAACTAATGCCAGGCAGCATCATGTCCGAAATCGGAATGTGAGATATCTTTTAAAGTTTTTAAGAGATGACATGATATCTGAAAAACATCTTGAAGACTTGTTGAAGATTTATTATGCCCGATTTTGGACGTGTTTCGATTTTGATGCTGCCTGGGAGAAAATATATATTAATAAATGTTCTTAAATTACAATTGCTTCCCAAATTGCGTTACCGCAAAATAAATACATATTTATGAATAAAAAAAATAATTATTTAACTTACTATACAATTTGATACATATATTTTACTTATTTCTCCTTTAAAGTAATTAAGACGAAATATATTTCTAGATGAATTAATTATTTACATCTCTGAACTTATCGTCTTCTCTCTTATCTGTCGAGCAATTTAAACTCTTAAGATAATAATTTCTCTTTTCTTAGATGATAATAGAATATAAATAAATTAGTATTATTTTGATATCAATAATGTTGAAATGACATATATTTTCATTGTAGAGAATAATGATAAAATAAAATAAAAAATCCTATGGCCCTTTTTTCAAAATGCAAAATTCAATTTATGTATCGACTGTTAAATTTTTACAAGTAGTTTATAATAGTTCTCGAATTCAACACACGATGGCGATAGTATTTCGATACATCGCTCGATACGACATTTGCATCGACTCGCGCGCAACATCATCTAAATTAATATCTAATATTTATATCGAATGAAGTGACTGTATCTGCATCATTGTTTTGTAAGTACCATGGCTATATAAATTGATTAGTTTAGATTACATATAATCCTATCGACGCAAAGTATAACAACGTATGAAAAAAAAAAAGAAAAATAACATATAATTAACAGTTTCTCGAAATCAATATGTCGTTGCACGTGTTGAATGTGCGATGCAAATGATGCAATGATTCTCGTAAGAAAATGACGACGCGAATTATTTGCAAAATGTCATTGTTTCGTATCACTCGTGATTACATTATATTTCTACATATCTCGCCGACTTTAAAAGTAGCGCATATGCAAAACAATGCATTTCTTTGAAATTGTCTGCCAGAGTAAAATATCAATTAAAGAGGACCGATCAAAATGTAAGCATTTGCATATATGCATTTTTACAATTCTTACAAAATGTGTTTTGTGTTAAATATTTAACACATTTATGTGTTAATTTTTAACATCTTGCTGTTGTATTAAATGTACTTCAAAGTTAAATTATTAAACCAATTGAAAAAAAGATGTAAAAATAATACAATATGCATCTATTTTTAATTTTACACAATAAATATATGTTCTGTTTTATTAGTGACAAGATTTATCTCTCCAAATTTGCAGATAAAAATGTTGATTTTTTATTTTACAATATAAGTGAGGATGATAAAATCTAAAATTAACATATTTTTAGTTAATTTTTACATTAAAACTGTGTTGATTTTATACAAATTTATTTTAAATTACTTGAAGTTTTGCATTTAGTTTGTGTTGTTAAAATATTAACACAGTATTTGTGTCTCCATTTACCATATCCATATTATGTTAAATTAGGACAAAAATTTCTGTAGATCGTTAAATTTCTGTGACATCTGTCAAATTTAACACAAATGTTGCAACTGTGATTGCAATTGCGAGTAATACGAAGCAATTGACAGTTTGCAAATAATTCGCGTCGTCCGACTTTCTTGCGGATCATCATCGTATCGCGTTATTTAACAGCGTGCATATCGTGCTCCGAGCGTAACTGTGCTCCCCGAACGTGTACATAGTAATCACGGAACGCTCGGTACAGTTAAAATGTGATTAAAGCGGTTACGGATGAGAGTCGTCGGCGTGATTGCGGCGCCGATAAAAATCACGGCGAAACAGAGGCGAGGAAAGGTGATGAGATACGATTTATAATTGTCCGTCGTAAATGCAGAACAGAGTTACCTGTCCGGACAGCAATTACCGCAAAGCTATAGAGCGGAATACGCGGGAAGTTTCTTCTCGGGTTTCAACCGCCTGCCTCGGTGACGATCCGCCGTGATTGCAGCTTCCCGAATGCACCGGCGGTGCGATTTGCGACACGCGAAAATGTGGAGAAATTGCGAGGCACACTTTTAGTTATTAATCGCGCCCGAAAAAATCGCGTAACCGATACGATAATGAAAGAGAGAGAGAGAGAAATTGATACGTAAATCGAGGTAAAATTCGAGAAAATATTCTTTTTTCTTCAATCTTCGCGAATTAAAAGTCTGCAATTATAATCTAAATTACAGAAGGAAAATTGAATAAACGAAGGAGCGAAAGAAGGCAATTTTGCACGCGCGGAAAATAATTATTCAATTTTTTAAATTTGCATTTCTTTCTTTAAGATATCAAATAAATGTCAGTAAAACTGCACCGAGAAAAAAGTTGTTAACTTGACTAAATCATTCAACTAATTATTATTTTGTTTATTGAACACATATAAGTATTTAAATATGTTGTATATTTAATTTAAATACTTGTATATGTTCAATTAATAAAATAGTGATTAGTTGAACGATTTAGTCAAGTTAACAACTTTTTTCTCAGTGTGACAATAAGAATTGTTAGCTAAGAATTCTTATGAGTTTATTTCATTATCCTTTGCGACAACAATGAATTTCAGAATGACATTATTTACTGCATCATTTTCAACTATAGATAATCCTTTATTACCACTTTTTATTAACAATTTGAAGAATTATAATTAAAATGTTATCCCCCTCATCGTCATATTCGAGATTCTCGCAAATAACTAGGTATATAATTTGTGATAATTTTGAGCTGGTTTAATGTAGCACAAAGAGTGGATTCTTCTTTCTTAGCACAAAGGGTTTTGTGCTTTATGCTTGCGAAGAATTGTTCCAGCCGAACACTAAGTTAATTCAGCTGATAATAAGCGCGCTTTTATGTACCGGTAGACATACCATTTTTATACATTTTTACACGGCAATTTTACGGTCTGCTGAAGCGACTGCATATGGAGAGATGCAGCCATGGTATCCTTTACTCGTCTTTCACGAGTATAATTCGTATAAAATTTAAGACTCGTGAGAATTTACAAAATTATTTTTCGCACTATCTATATAAAATTCTATCGAAAAGAATGATCGATATTTTTATCAATTGTATCAAAATTCTTTATGCAAATTGTGTTGCTTATTAATAATTTATGTATTATACTTGTCTGAAAAAATGCAGATGCTGGATTAATTTGCACAAACGTGCATGGTATTTCCGTTAAAAAATTACGATGGCATCAGTTAATAATATATCTAGGTGTGTGTTATACATAAACACGTTCTCGCAGCCAAAGCAGTTGGTCACGATTTAACATCGCTCATTAACCTCGCTAATAGTATACATCATCAGGAAATCGATTTCGTCTTAATCTTAACATCGTCTCTTCCGCGAGAGAGATACAGTTTTGTATTTCAGAATCAAATTATATGGAATAATTGAATCTGCAAGTGAATACATTGTCGACATTGTGTATAAATCGTGTAATACGGAAAACGTAGAATGTCGAATTAATCAATCCTCTTGGCTTTAATCAATTAGAAATTAAAATTAACATAGAAGAGACTATAGAAATATTGTCCTATTTTTTAAATAACATTTTAATAATTTTTGTTTCTCCTTTTTACAGTGGTTTTATGCGGTCGATATGCAAAATCGTGAAAGAAGCAATCGAAGAGCGAGGATAACGTTTTGAAGGCAGGAGATCTCAAGTTGAAGATAATCTCGAAACCAGGTAAACGAGCCATCATTCTGTCTCGATTATTTTAAATCAAATGACAATTTATTTCTGGCACTCGCCGACCCTCTTGTCTCTGTGCTATATCAATTAGAAATTAAAATTAACATAGAAGAGACTATAGAAATATTGTCCTATTTTTTAAATAAAATTTTTAATAATTTTGTTTCTCCTTTTTACAGTGGTTTTATGCGGTCGATATGCAAATCGTGAAAGAAGCAATTCGAAGAGCGAAGATAACGTTTTGGAAGGCAGGACATCTCAAGTTGAAGATAATCTCGAAACCAGGTAAACGAGCCATTAATTCTGTCTCGATAATTTTAAATCAAATGACAATTTATTTCTGGCACTCGCCGACTCTCTTGTCTCTGTGCTACATCAATTAGAAATTAAAATTGACATAGAAGAGGCTACAAATATTGTCGTATTTGTTAAATAAAATTTTTAATAATTTTTGATTCTCCTTTTTACAGTGATTTTATGCGGTCGATATGCAAAATCGTGAATGAAGCAATTCGAAGAGCGAGGATAACGTTTTGAAAGGCTGAGATCTCAAGTTGAAGATAATCTCGAAACCAGGTAAACGAGCCATCAATTCTGTCTCG